ATTTAAATTTAAAAATTAATTAAAATTTTAATTTTTACATATAAATTAAAATTAAAATTTTAAAAAAAATTAAAATTGATATGTATGAATTTTAAAAATAATTATATGTAACTTTATTATGATATTTAGGCATAAATATAATATGTAAAATATAAATTTCATAATTAATATTTTTTAATGCTTTAATTTATTGAATTAGAAAGTCATCCTTCCCTTTCATATCCTTCATTTTCTTGACATCAATCATATTCCTAAGCAATGAATTGAAATTCCACAGTTGACTGCTTTTCTGTTGCTTTGGAACGTGGAAAACCAAATAATAATTAATCTGAATTACAAGTAGTTCTTTATGGAAATTTTCCATTTTCTCCTTTTTACTATTTATTAAGTACCTTACCATTATACTTTCTTTAATTAATTCTAAATTTATATAAAAAATAAAAATTACACTTGAGCCTCTGGATCCAACAGCGTCTAGCCACGTATAAATGCATTCTCCCAACCCAGAGTAACGGTTTGTATTCAACCTTGCGAATTTGTTCAAAATATATATATATATAAAATAAAAATTGATATTAACTTGACATATTAGTAAAACCCTTTAACAAATTATAAAATAAATTATACATGCCAATGTTTTCTTCCGTTGTTTTGTGTTACATCTGATTAGTTTCGATACTGTACAAATTAGCAATGTCCAAGTTTTGTGATTTCAAGCTTAGCTCAACTAAATTTATGTAATCCTGAGTTTTGAAATTGCGCATTCAAGTGTTTTTTTTGGGGCTTGATCTTGGATTGATGATTGTATTAAGGGCCAAATTATAGTCTATCAAAATATGTGATTTGGTTAGACAATGAAAAACTATATGTATATTGTGATTTTGTTTGTCATGATGATTGTGTCGCTTTTCTTCATTACGTTTTTGAGGGTCTAAAATGGAGTGTTGCAAATGATTTCACGGGCAGGGTTTGGTACAATACTTCAACCTGGTTGAGGGATGCTTATCCATGATCCATACACATCAGAAGCGGTACAATTTCATATACGACTGGATAGTCCGGACACGGGTAGATGGGTACTGGAACGCCCCTTTGTCCCCGGAAAACTTCATTCCGGGCAAATACGTGGTCCCCGTGGGATCCAGCTACGGTGGACTCAACGACCGCCTAGGAATCGGCGACTTCAACACCTCCAGAGCAGCGCTCTCTCGGCTTTCCCTCATCCCCGAGCTAGATTCTGCCGGATTTCGCCAACTCAACTCGGAATCCGCTTTCAAAGCCCAACTCGTCACTCGGAAGGTACCCTACGTCAAGAAGCGATTGCCGTTCTGTATCATGACGGACAGGAAATACGAGTTTCCACCTGCCCACTTGGGCGTGCCGGTTGCAGCGTTAGCCAGCCCCGGCCCACTCAGCGGGGCGAAGTGCCGGCCATGTACGCCGGTATGTCAGGGTCCCTGCGTGGCAGATGTGATGCTGTCTCTTGATAGAGGATGGAGTTGGACCTACTGGAGTAATGGGACTATGCAGCTATGTGATGCTCACCTTGAGTGGGAAAAAAGATGGGAAAAAATTTTTGACGGAATTGGTGGCAAGAAGCTTGCGGCGGAGAGAAGGCGGGTGAAAGATTTGAAGTTTGAGGAGTGCGTTCGTGACTTTGGTGAAATGAAGGGGAAGGCTTCTGGTTGGGAGTCACCGTCGGTGGAGGATATCTGTAGACTTGGCTTGAGAACGACGCAAAGGTGATTTTGCTTTCTCAATTAGTTGGCTCATTAGTTTTTTTAAAACGGAATTTTTTTTTTAATAGAGAAAAATGGTAGAGGGAATTTATGAAGTATGTAAATTTTTTTTTCTTTTTAACTTTGTAATTTGTATCACATATTAAC